CTGACTGATACAGCTTATTACTAAGGATCTACTTAAATTGCGGTTTTGCGATTTTTGTGAAAACCGCAAAACATGGCAATCTCTGTGATCACTGTGAAAAAATGACATTAGCCATGATTTCCCATGGAATCAACCAAAAAAAATGCTTACCAGAATACAAAGAAAGCATGGCAATCGCTGCCGCCATATAGCATGTGATTTGTAAGAGCTACTGAGAGGCTGAGCTAGTAATGTAGACTAAGTGAAGGCACCAATCGAGAAAGGAAAAGTGTTTGGGTGCCATTCAGTGGCAAGGGATGTAGCCACCAGGGCCCCTGCACCACTCAGTGGTGAGGCTGCTGCAAAATGCCCACGAAATTAGCTCTGCATGCCGTGAACGGGCAGTGAAAAACCACTTATTACCTCTCTTGGCACAAAGAAAAGGCAATTAGTGTTAGCAGATTTAGGTAAACTTTAGAGTCTGTTAGGGCACTTTTATGCATGCTTCAAGGCTGGGGGGGGGCACTAATTAGAGCAGCCCCAAGAGCTGATCTAATTAAAGCCCCACACTGCCTCGTGTATCAGAATCCCCTAACTTCAAAGTAGCAGCAGGGACATTTGAACTAAAGCTTAAACAAGCTTTGGTTTAAGTGTCCCTGCTGCCATTTTGAAGTGCGGGGATGCTGATACACAAGACTTGGAGGCTGGCTGGAGCGTGGTAAGTACCACACTCCAGCAGACTCAATTAATTGAGTGTGCTCCGATGCACTGTAATCGGCACATCATATTACCGTAATCACTACATTGGAGTAGCCTAAGCCTCACAGCATGTGTACAGGCACCCCTAGTGTGTGAAAATTACAAACTGTCTTATTCTCACTAAGATAATTCTTCACACTAGTTCTTCCTACAAATTAAAGACACATTTTTCCCACGAAAAAGCATACCTTGTGGTTTTTTTTCATCCCTTCACTTAGTTTCTCCAGGCCTCTGTTCTCCATTAGTAACATTTTCTCACTTTTGTCTATTTTAGGGGAGGAAGATCTCATTATGAGTCAGTGCAGTGTCTAGTACAGTGGGGCTTGATCCTGTTCTGCTCTGATGTAATAAAAACTAATTGCCATCTCACTCCTAAATATCTGGTATATTTGTAAAAGCAGCTTCAGTATGCATAGTCTGTCTAGTGCTTCACTACCAAGTACTGTTGGAGACTTTATCATCTCTGCACAATGTGTACTCATTTTTAATGAGTTCCTAAAAAAGTATAGACAGGATTGTTTGGGTGAATCTGATATATTTTATTAGACAAACTTAATTAGTTGGGAAAAAAATTGTTTAGCAAGCTGTCGGGTTTAAAAACCCTTCGTCAGGCTGAGGACGCCTCTGCAGTTGGTGTGTGCTCTTCCTGGATGCAATGAATAGTAAAGAAAAAAAATGTCCAACTATTTAAGTTGGTATAATAAAAAATATCAGATTCACCCAAAGAACCTTGTCTGCCTATGTCCTTAGACCAACACAGCTACAACCTATACCCCTAAAAAAAGTATGATATTGTCCATCAGGTGGCAGCAGTGAATCTGGAGAAATAAAGGATGACCTAAAAAGACCTTTTGTCAAACAGGGGGCATGAGAGATTAAAAACTAGTAAAGAATATAAGCCTCAATGCTCACATTAGGTTTAAAATTTGACTTAAATGGTATTCCCAGGAATATCAAACTATATTCCTGATTTTGATAGTTCTACTTTAATCATTACTGCTGGTGGAACTGTACCCATGGTAGAGAACTGCTAAGCAGAGAAATCTGGTATCTGTCATGAAAAACTGAAACCTTTTTGTTCATACAGATCTTTATATCATGTTCCTAGACTCAGAAATGAATGGATGGAAAGGCTGGAAAAAAAGCTAAAGATGCTGAGGACCCAAACTGAAGATTCAGCTAGCTGAAGATCTCAGACCTCTTCTGCATTTGAAAAATAAAGAAAACTGTTTTGCAGGAGAAAAATAAGAGTGTGATACAAATGCTCAGTGTATTTTTATTTACAAATTTAAATTAGATTAGGCTGTTCATAAGTGATGAGATTTATTATCTAGCACAACCTTTCATTTAGTGAAGCGTGAAAGTGTAACACTAGTGGTTCTTTGGTCCAGAAATACCAAGAAAAGGAGTTTATCAACATGCTAACTAAACGTTTTTTAAAATGAGTCCTCCTCCACTTTCTCTACATACTATGATACAGCAGTTTACTGTTGTGATTTCCTTTTGAGATTGCTTAATAAATGTTTGGATTTTGATTCTGTGAATGACAGTGCAACACCAAAAATATACACACACAAAAAATATACTGAAAGGTGTGTTCATAGTGCAATCATATTTTTAAAGTGTTCTTATTTGGCTAACCTGCATTAACTAAGTAGTTTAGTAAAGGGCAGACAGCTTGGATTTTCATCCCAGTTAATGGTTGGAGTTCAGTCCCAGGCTTTCCAGTTGGTTTCAATTTAGTCTGCTTACCCAAGTTAAGACGTGGGGTTGGCTTGTTATGTCCTATTTTAACCTGAGGTAACTAACCATATTTAGACTGAAGTAATGTACCACGAAATGGATTGTTTTAAACACACTAAAAATCTTTTTCCCTCAGTTGTTCAGCTTTCAGTCTCTTGTAATGCCCTCATTTCACTAGTTCTCCACTCATCCTTGTTCTTTCAGTGTAGACAAGGTTTTAATTGACAATGGAGAAAAGTAAGCAAAAAAAAAGGATTGTGTGTTTTAAATAGTTTAGGCTTTCTGCCTATTCATTATAAAGCAAAAAATTAAACCCCAACATAGCTTTGACATGTCCTGAGGTCAAAAATTAAATCTGATGTCTGTTCTTCCAATGGGACTCATGTGCATGCAAATGATAGCCTAATGAAGAGCTTGAACATTTGTTAATGCATTCAAAACAACCTTGGGACACAAGCTGTTAAATCAAGTTATCAAAAGGTATTTACCAAACTTTCAGAAAGAGCTTGCCTGCTAGCTGAAAATGACTAAAAGCTGTTATGGTCAATTTCTTCAATATATTTGTTTTCTTATGCCATTTTCGAAGGAATATAAACTAAAATGGAAATAGACATGCTTATGCTTGAATAAGAGTGCCCAACAAAGGAGTTGTAGCTGTATACTGTATACACTGTATACTGTAGACTCTCCCTATGCCTGAAGAAGGGTATTTGTGCCTGAAAGCTTGTAAAGAACAGTTTTGCCAATTATTTAGTTTATCTAATAAAAATACCACATTTACCCAAAGAACTTTGTCATAGCTGTATACTAGCATTATTATAATGGTAAATTTCCCTGTGTAGACATCCAAATTCCAATAAACTTCAGTAGGATCCAGGCTCCTTTGAAAAATCCTAATCTCCCCTGGCTTATTTTTCATTCAGTGCCCACTGAAACCAGGAACCAAATTCTGTTCTCAGGATTGCACCAGATTTTACATGTGTTTAACTGAGATCAGAACTTAGACCAGCAATGGGCAATTATTTCAGGCAGAGGGCCGCGTACTGAGTTTTGGCAAGCCATCAAGGGCTGCATGACAGGCAGCCAGGGACAGATAAATATTAATTTTCTTAAATTTTTAGCAGCCCCGCAGGCTGGATAGAATGACCTGGCGGGCCGCATCTGGCCCACAGGTCGCATTTTGCCCATCCCTGATGTATACCCAATAGTAGCATTTTGTGCCACCTATTGAACGAGTGAAAGAACTGAATAACCCCTTGTGGGCCACATGCAGCCCTCTAGCCACCAGCCCTTGTTTGTACTATGTATCCTTTTCCCCCTCCAATAAAATTAGCAAAGGAAAGCAGAATTGTTAGTTTCCACCTTGGTCAAGGAAAATAAGAGGTAAGGGGTGGCAGCTCAACACCGCAACAGCTGATATTACAAGCACCTTATATCACAGAACTTTACTTAAATGTCAGAGAATAATGTGTTGTGGGATGTCTTTACCAAAAGTGGAAAAAAAAGGTTGAGGGTAAAAGGATATTTAGTGATGAATGTACCACCTCCAGCCTAGTTCTGGATTTCACTCAGTTTCCATTTAGCTTTGCAATTTCACCTTTCGTGTCTAGATGAATTATTTAGGCTCAGGTTCTACCAAGGTAGATTTAGGACTTTGGGTCAAGAAATCTTTATTCATCCAGGTGCTAGCAAACCATTTTGATTACAAACTCAATCACATTTCTAGGAGTAATCTGTCCAGTAGCTTTATAAATTACTAGTAACAGAGCAGTATATTAAACAGAGCAATACATACAATTTAATACCAATCAGCAAAAAACTAAAATGTGACAAAAATTGAAATTCAGGTCTAAATGTCAAGAAACAAACTTAGTAAGTAGCAAGAGCAGAAGATGACTGTGATAGGTTGAATACATAGGAATATAAGCCTGTAATTCACTTTGGAGGCAATTCTAGAAATCAAAAGGAAGCAATAGGTAAATCACACTCTTTTACAAGGTACAGATTTGAGAACAAGATGAAACAATGAAAAAGGTTCCATACCTGCAGACCACAGGAGTAGCATTAGTTGATAAAACAATGTAGGCTCTATCGTCTCATATTGCCAAACAGGATGCCCCAAAGATCACTTTGGATTATTTTTCAATCACTCCTAGTCATGGTAGAGATTTCAGCAGACTGCAATATGCAATTATTAAGGTAAAATCTAATCATTTAAAAACAATTTCTCAAAGAAACGCTTCATTCCACTTGACTTTTTTCAGGCCACATTTTTACATTGTTCCTGAGTGTAAAAATGGGATACTTATAGCAATCCACTTCTAATTGTTTTTGTAATTCCAGTGTGTAAGGTACTTGCCTAACATTTCTACTTTAATTTTATTCTTCTGCCTCTCTCAGATACAGCAGAACTAGAAGATGCCTTTTTCATCTCACATACATGATGCAGAACTACTCTTTAAAAGCTTATATATTAAACCAAATAAGAAATAGCAAAGTTTTATTACCATCTAAAACAAATACTAAATAAACCTGAATCTAAATCCCTTCAGACTCTATTTATGAGAAGTACATTCTGTGTTACCATGAGAATGACAGATTCTCCATTTTATCTGTGTAAATGGGCCTTCTACTGTACGGATAAGGGCTGACACCTGTGAACAATGATTCTGTCAGTAATTTAACAGACTGCAACCTCGTAGCAGTTTATCCGGAAGTGTGCTCAAGGAAATGTTTAGATACAGTTCTTTAAGATTGTTCCTAACCGGTGTTCTTCTACAAAACAGAAAATGCCTTTACGTTTGCTTATTTGTAGGAAATAAAACAAAATAAATACAGGTGTTATGGCAGTGCGTTGAACTTGTGTGACTTCCTGGAAGTAGAGCAAAGTCATTTCTTGCTAACACCAGTAGCACCAGTGTTGGCTGACAGTTTAGATGACTGGGTGAACTTTCATACACCTGACACAGCAGTTTCTGTACTGAAGGGTATGTCCTGCTACTGTAGCATGGCTTCTGAATCTCCCACTACTCGAATGTCTTGAGAGTGATATCCAGTGGCCACATATGCTGTACCCAGAGTGATTCTCTTGTGTCTGTCCAGCCATTGTGTTTGCTTGAGGTTTTGTTCATTTAAGAGTGCCAGTGCTTAATAGAAGAAAGCAAGCCAGACTGACTTCTACCCCAGTTTAGATACATGATACAGTTATCAACAGTGATGGTAATTCCTCACAAGATATCAAATCTAGGATTCTTACTTTATATTCTCTGTAATGTTAAAATATTGACGATATTTATATTACAATAACACATGGAGGCCTCAGCTGTGACCAGGATCACATTGTGGTAGGCAGTGTACAGAAACATCCTGTTCATAAGAGTGCTTAACCCATGCTGTTTACAATTTACTGGTAAATCTGGATAAAAGAGTGAGAGGCAAGACACAGGAAGAGAAGGGAGATGTTTTGCCCAGGCTCATGTGTCAGTGGCACAGCTGTGGTACCCAGTCTAGGTACCAAGTCCCTATCCAGTGACCTAACATTTTGACCGAACTGCAGTACCATGTAGCCACTTCTCTAACCAGAGATAATATCCTTGGGCATTTCACTGCCTTATATAATCCAGAGAAAACATGAAATGTGATATGTGAAAACTCAAACTATTCTGACCCCAACCTAAGAAATACATCACATTGCAAATAGCCTATTGGTACAATGAAATTATTTTTCCCTTTTAGTATTCCACACTTTGCACCTTCCAAACTGGTGTTGTTTCTCAGAAGCTAAGTTACAAAAAGCAAATATCTTTGAACCAAAGAGATAGGGACATTGTATTTGAGAAATTCAGGACCTAATTGGAATACAGTAGGGGGTGGGTTGGGGAGAAAAGAAAAAGTAGGGGGGAAATGAAGATTATTTCAATTGTGACAGCTAAATAAATCTGGAGAAGCAAGATTATGATTTTTAGAAGGGTGTTTGAAGACTGTGGAAGGAGAGATTACCAGAAAACGAAAGGACTTGGATTTGGTTCATTTGAAGTGCTAATATTCAGGACAGATTGTATTATTTTGAACTAGTCTATTCATCCCAGTGTATAACACCTCTAGTCACCGAGGGGCATTCTTGTCTTAGTCAACCTGTTGTGCATGCTTAAGGGATCCTCACACTGACATTGGTCAATGAAACTTTAATTTAAATACAGAGTGTAGGATTAACCAACCTTGGGACCAAATCTCAACTTTAACATACATTAACAACCCTCAACTACATGTTGAAGCTCACTGAGCAATTAGATATGAAACTGTATACCATAACTTCAGCACCCTTTCTTTTCAGTCATTTGGTAAGCTTCACCTAGCTTATTTGGCATAGAACACTCCTGTTTCAATCAAACTGGCTCTTATCCTGTAAAATGACTTGTTAGGACAGTCAAAATGATTCTTCAGGGCTAATGACATCTTCATCTGGGTCTTGAAATAGCGCATTCAAGTCAA